GTTCTCAAACTTTATCTAAGCTGTGTTTATTAATATAACTCCAAGGAGCTTTTTAAAAAGCTGATCATACTTCCAGACTGACTGCATGGTTCTAAAATGAACCTACCAACAGAGCTCTAAAGAAAACAAGGTACTTTGGGTAGAAAATAAAAGAAACCAGGACCCAGTCTCCTGGTCAAGGTGGGGCTGCATGAGGCCGGGTACAGGCCTGGGCCTCCAGTCTTTACACCGCCACTGTTCTGGGGCCTCAGGTCCTATTCCTGTAAGAAGAGCTAACTTACAAGGTCGTGGAGAATATTAAGGGGATAAGGCAAGAAGTACAGTGACCATCACATAACATAAGCTCAACCACTGAGAACCATTACTGTCATCACTCTCTGCTGGAAGTTCCGTAGGACTTAGTAAGAATGACAGTCATGGCTGGCCACACATAGGAGGCCGACTATTCTAAGTGCTGTGTATCTCTCATCTAGCCAGAGAGCAGGATATTCTTCCAGCAGGAATTCTACTATATCCCTAGAGTCTACCATTTTGCCTGATATTTTGTTAGGCATTTCACACATTTATGTGGAATGGTACTTTTGATGATAACTATGAAGCATGCCACTTTTTTTTTTTTTAAGGATCAGAGGTTGTGGAATAAAACTATTGAAGATCAAGGTTTTCATGATGTGAAAGGGATTTAGACAATTCTAGAAAAGTACTAGCCACTGTTTCCTCAGGTCACTCACTATAATGTAGGAACCAGGAGAATGTTTAGCAGTCCCAGCTTCTAGAACATTCTTCCCCCCCCAAAAAAAAAAAAATTTCAATATCCCCTTCTATTATTTACAATCGTTCTACTTTAACAGGTTTTCTGTGAAGATAATGCTCAGGGGCAGAATGATAATTACGACATTTTCATTTAGCTTTCTCTGCTGTGGATTTAATAATGTTAGCAGCTTCAAATTTTTCCTATAAAAAACTATTAATTTTCATTGCTTTCATGCTTCTCCAAATGACTCATAACTTAGTTCTTATGTTACATCTTATATGAAAATAAAGGAAGTTTGAGGTTTGTATTCTAACCTTTGTTCTCCAAAGACAAAAAATTATAATGAAAACAGAAACCAGGTCTGTATTATTTACAAAGTAAGGAATAAAATTAGGGTTCAGGGAATGATCATTTGGTCTCAGTCTACCTATTTTTTATTTTATTTTACTACTACATACTAAGGGACTAGGGATGTGACTCAGTGGTAGAATATATGCTGGGTATGTGGAGGGGCTGGATTTGATTCCAGTGAGATACACACACACACACACACACACACACACACATACACACACACAATTGGGACATGCTAAAACTTTCTACGACATTCTAGAAGTCAAAGATTATATGAAGCCTATGGTTTAGTATAAGCACCTACAGAAAGATATTAGAAATCATGTTATATTTTTACAGGCTTACATTTCAAATATTTTAACCTATTTTTTTCATGAGTAGACTCTTAAGTGTCATATCTATTTCCTAATTTGGGCATCAAAAAATATGGCCAACCTGCCTATGATCTATAATCTCTACATAATATTGCCAATATCGGAAGGAAACACTGATTGCAGTTTCCCTCCATAATTGCACCCTGGTCCCTTCATAAGTATTCTACCTTTTAGTCATTAAGAGATATTTATGAGTAGGTACTGCTTTTCTCCCATTGTACAGATGAGGATGTTGAGGCTCATTAACTCACACAGACTCAGCCGGCCACTAGGTGGCAAGGCAAGGGCTCTCACATTGGGTGTGGCATATGCTCCAAGCTCTATGCATCCTGCTGCAGGCTCTGGGAGCACAGGCTTTGGGGTTTGGTTTGTGACTTGATCTAGCAATACACAAGCTATAGCTTCTTCATAATTATCTGATTTTGACTTGGAAAGCAGGGCCTTCCTGCTGCACTCGCAGCACTATGAAATGGATGAACCCTTTGGAGATGACCTGGGCAGTGTTTCAGAGTGGGGATGATGTGCATATCAGGGTCCGGCCATGATGCCCTGGCAGGATGGCAGACACCACTGAGCAGCCAAGCCCACCCCGTTGACAGCCTCTGGGAAACTTCCTCTTCACCTGCTGGTGGGTGAAACATGTGGTGCTCTTCTGGCCAACAGGGAGTAAGTGAAAAGCCGAGGAGCAGGGCTTCCACCAGAAATTTTCTATGGGGTCCAGAGTGCTTCCTGGGCCTTTTGCTCCTTGTCTATCTTCCTGACAGGAATATTGGATGTGACGTCCAGAGGTGCCATCACTGTTTTATGTCCATGAAAATGCAAATTGAGAATAAAATGAACCCGCTAAACATGGCAGACAGGAGAAGGAATCAACCTAGATCAAGTACTTTAGTCCTGGAATGTTTATCTCCAGACTTATCATTTGTTATGTTAGGGAAAAATGTGCCATTGCCAGGTGCGGTGACACGTGCCTGTAATACCAGTGCCTCAGGAGGCTGAGGCAGGAGGATCATGAGTTCAAAGCCAGCCTCAGCAACTTAGGAGGCCCTAAGCCACTCAGCAAGACCCTGTCTCTAAATAAACTTTGAAAAGTGCTGGAGATGGGACTCAGTGGTTGAGTGCCCCTGGGGTCAATCCCTGGTACCAAAAAAAAAAAAATGTCATTAATCTCCTGGCAGTTGGGCTTCTTGACACAGTTCTCTTGGAAAGACTCTTGCACTTATGCCCAAGGTGACATCCACAAAAGCTTGTGACATCAAATCTTGCAAACAAGCATAAGTTTAATGCCCATCAGTAGATAAATGGATAAACAAATAGTGACACATTCATACACCACATAGCACTTAACAAGAAGTGACCTAGATGTATACAGATCCACAAGGAGAATTCTCAAAACCATCATGTAAAGGGAAATTGCTGAATGTCAGGTGCTCAGCCCAACACTACTTGAATATATTTTTAAAACACATGGAACAATCCACATGCTTTGTGGATCCATGTGCATGCACTGAATATAAAAACAATATCTGTACTGAAAGTATAAAAACAATGTTATAAAACAAACTAATCAACTTCAGGGAGGGAAGATGAAAAGGAAATTCTAAAGTGATAGAGAAGGCACTTAAACTGAACTTGTAGTTTGTTGTGTTCTTGAGACAGGGTCTTGGGTTCAACCAAACTTCATCTCAGAGCGCTGTTCAGAGAATCAAGGCAGAAGCTACAAGTCCTCTTGGAGCGTAGGCTAAGAAGTCAACAGAATCATTCTGGCTGTATTCTGTTGGCCAACGTGGGTCTGTTAAGTAGTCCCAGCTGGCCTTAAGCCTGTGATCCTCCTGCCTCAGATTTCTAAGTAGCTTAGATCACAGGCATGTACCACACACCCAGTGATTCAGTAGGATTTGGGGTTTTGGGGGGTTTTGTTTGTTTGTTTGTTTGTTTTGGTACTGGGAATTGAACCCAGAGTTGCTTTTCCACTGAGCTACATCTCCAGATCTTTTTTATTTTTTATTTTTTAGACATAGTTTCACTAAATTGCAGAGGTTGGCCTCAATCCTTCTGCCTCAGCCTCCCAAGTTGCTGGGATTACAGACATGCACCACCACACCCAGTTGAGCCTGTAATATTTTACTTCATAAAAGTAATCTGAGTCAAATAGGAGGGAAAATTGTAACACTTATTAAACCAGGTGGTGGATAAATGAGTTGATAAATAATTCACTGTATTTTTCTATATTTTTAAAATGTTTCACTTTTTAAAAAAATTGAGTGGAAAAAAACTATTTCAAAAATCAGTTAACTATTTATGTAAGTGTATTCTGCCAAATATAAAGTCTCACACACACATGTAAAGTTTGTTACCTGGAATAAATACTTAGTTCATAGTTTGAACTGAACATGATACAAACTTATCAGGATGTGGCTGTCATCCTGAGCTCCACCCTCAACCAGTTGTACAAGGTAAAAGGTAAAAGAGGAAGTATGGTAGGGTATTATAGAGAACTCCGGAATCAAACAGCCTTAGGTTGGAGGGTAGACTATTGATAAAGAAGGATACAAAACTTCCTCCTGTCCTCAAAGGCTTTGCCATATGATATTGCAGAACTTTCCATCAGGCAGTGAAGTCTAGTCATCCACCCATAGATCCATACTGGCTGGTGACTTGAGTTGGCCAACAGAACAAGCCAAAATGATTCTGTTGACTTCTTAGCCTAGGTCCCAGGAGGACTTGTAGTTTCTGCCTTGACTGTTTGAACAGCCCTGTGTGTTGAAGTATGGTCTAACCCAAGGATTGGCAGAATATGGCCCAGAGGCCAAATCTGGCCCGCCACTTGTTTGTGTAAATAAAGTTTTATTGGCATATAGCCACGCCCTTCTGTTTAAGTAGTGGAAGAAGTTGGTGTCAAAACAAGGGTTGTGGCTCAGTGGTAGAGGGCTTTCCTAGCATGCGTGAGGCACTGAGTTGGATCCTCAGCACCACATAAAAACAAATACATAAAATACAGGTATTGTGTCTAAAAATAAATAAATAAAAATACTCCAGATTCCTCACCCTTTGGGAGAGATAACTTTGAGTATCCGTCCTCCCCTGTCCCAAGAGTCTTCCTGCTTGGTGACACTGGCCTCCCACTGGCTTGCCATGGCACCCTGTATTAGCAGCCTCGCCTTCCCAACCCACGTACTCTATTTTCACTGAACCCTTATCATGGGACCTGCTTTAGGGCTGCACATGAACCAAGATGCCACGTAGCTTGAGACAAAGTGTCTCTCTCTCTGAATCTTAGTCTTCCTACCCGTAAAATGGGAGCGCTCCTGCACCAAGAAAGCCACCAGGCGACTGACTGGATGTAAGACCAGGCCCACTCTTGCTGGTGGTTGGGTGCCTTCATCTAGCTCCGCCTCTTCCTGCACCAGCCCTGGTGATTGGCCAGACCCATGAGCCCCTCTGAGGGGACTGGCCAATAGGATTGTAGGGAGGCAGAGAGGCCCAGGATGTTACGCAGCCGCAGTGCGTGTGGATCTCCTTGGCGCCCCTCTCCCCGCTCCAGTCACGTCCTCCTACTTCACATGTCCCACCCTCGCGCCACAGGTCGCGCCTGGAGGACGCCGTGGCTCCTGAGTTCCTCCTTGGCACGTGGGGCTGGATCCTGCTTCGTGCCTGACTCCAGGAGCCGGTCCCCACGAGAAGAAGCAACTCGGTGGAGGAAGTGTGGCTGACAATTAGAAAAACACCCAGCCCCTGCCCCGGGGTGGAAGGTGAGCATGACGTCACTGGTGGCCTTAAAAAGAAATAGGGAAACAGGGAGGGTGTGGCCTGTTCTCTAGTGAAGAAGTCACCCGACCCTCCCCTGGGCTCCCTGGGACCGTCTATAAATACACACCCTGCAGAAACCTGGAGGAAAAATTAAGGGCGTGCATCCACTTCAGGGAGCACGTTGCATTTGCTCTAGTTGTTTCTGGGCTCGTTTAAAGGTTTCCTGCTGAGTGCTCCTTCCTCGTGACCTCCCCCAATGATTCAGGGGTGATCCAGGGAGAACTGGACCCTATAGCATGCTCAGAAGGCTCCACTGGTTCCCATATCCACGTGAAAGTCTCTCTGAGACCTAAGCGAAGCCAGCCAAGTATTAAGAGTGGCCTTCTGGCTCACCTCCAGGCCAGGAAAAATGGGAGAGCTTTTTTTATTAAATGATTGCCCCGTAGGACTTTGAATGGAAGTGACTATTTTAGAACCTGAAAACATCTCCACAGCCTCTTGGAGTTACTTTTGGGAAAGTCCCTCGCTGTTGTCTTCTTGTCATGCGATAGGATGTCAGCGTCGGGGGACATTTCCTAACAGAAAATCATCAAGGGCTCCGTGTAGCACTTGGAGAAGCTTAAAAGGGTGCTAGGGTTTACAAACCTTGGCTCTTGCTGAAAATGGCATCATTTCTTCTTCCAGAAGAAAACATTTTTGTTCTGGTGTTTATTGGCTCAACACAATTAAGATTGTTTGTGGTCATGGTCTCTCTGATCTCAGAGCATAACCTCTTTGCAATTTATCTTTGCAGAGCCACACAGTGAACTCAAGTTCTTGCAATTATTAGATGCTCTGGGAATATGTGTGCTGGAAAGTGAGACGTACTGGGTTTCTGGAGGCAGAAATCTTCTTGGAGCTGTATGATTTTAGGTTGCCCAACCTCTCAGATCCTGTTTCCTTATCTGTTTCTTTACAAATTTCCTTCCTTTCCTCCTTGTACTTCTGGAAATGTGAAAGGAGAAAAGGGGCACACCCCCACCCACACTGAGTCCTAGTATACAGTATATGCTCAGTGAACGTGAGTTCCTATGATTAGAAAATCACTTGTGATTTCTTCAGCTTAAGAAAAAGAATGTTGGAGAAACAGTAAGACAGGCTACTGGGAGATCATGAACTCTGCAGTAGCAATACCTGGGTTCAGTTCCTAGCTTTGCTATATCCCAGGACCATGACCATGAAGAGTATAATTCTCTTTCCTTGCCTCAGTATCCCAACATAAACAGTGCAAAGACACCTCATAAGACTAGTAAGGATTGAGACAGTTCACAGAAATGCACTCAAAGTCTGTTGACCATAGCTACTAGCAAAGAACAGTTACTTCCATTAATGTCGTGATAATTATTTTAAAATTATTGTTAGAGAAGACCAGTCTCTTTTCACGCCTGGAACTTGAGCTGTCAATCATAAAGCAGGTTCTTGGGAGGCATTCAGAGGCCACAAAGCATTTGGTAGCAATCAGGTAACCGTTGGGAGGGCATCTTTGGAAACCATGGATTTCAGCACAATCTGAAGACTCCAATTTTTTGCCAGATTGTTTTCAAATCCCTAGATTTCACATACCCCCCAGGATACCCATATGAGCATGGTGTCATAATTACCTCGATGTGTTGAACCAATAAACACCAGAACAAAATAATCAAAGTAATAAGTTGTGTAAAACTTGACAAAAGGAATATGTTAAGAATTGTACTTAAGGTATCAATGTATATGAAGACTCCCTGAGAATTAATAACTTGGCCCAGAAATAAGGTTATCCAAACCAACCACTCTTCCATTTCCTTGCATAGCAATTTTTTTTAAATAGGAGACAATAAGCTGGATTTGCAATTAGCCACATCTGAAATTGCCCAAAACATTGTGTTAATGATAATGATAAATTATAATGATGATATGATAGCTAATAATGTTTACTACTTTTTAATATGATACTCATTAGCTTTCCTTATATTATCTCATTTTATATAAGGAGAAAGTTTACCCTTATTGTTCCCATTTTACAGATGAGATAGTTAGCACTTCATGAAGAGTAAGATGCTATTGGTCACACTTTCCTATGTGATTCCTGGGAATTTGAACCCAGCTGTATGAGAAACAGGAGTTTCCAGTTTGAGTCTGAGCATGGAGTGAGGGGACAGCTTTGTAGACAGTGAATCTAATTTATGGCTTCATTTCTGACTAAGGAATGAAAAGTCAGGAAGTGCTGAGAAGGTGGTCATTGTGTGTTCACTGCCCAATGCTGTGACAAAATACCTGAGATAAATGACTTAAGAGGGAAGAGTCATTTTGGTTTCAGAGGTTTCATTCATGGTCACTTTGGAAGTTTTGCTCTGGGCTTGTCGTGAGGCAGAGCATCACCAGGAAGCAAACACAGAGATAACACAAACACAGAGGTGAAGGGGTTGGGCTCCAGTGACCTCTTCAGGCATACCCTCAGTGACCTAATTTCCTTCCACTAACCCCACCTCCCAACACTGCCACAGACTGATGGCAAAGCCTTCATTTAGCACATGGGCCTTTGAAGAACTCTTAGGCTCTAAACCATAACAGTAGATTAATAATCAGTCCGTTCCTTGAGCCATCACAACTAAGAGCAAATTGATGGGTACAAAAGTACAGTACCCCCAAAGATGAAATAGCAGTTAGCGATGATCATTTTGCAGGGAGTCAAACTCATATTCTGTCACTGGGCCCTTCAAACCATCCTGCAGAAGCAAAATAAACACAGATACCCCTGGAGACACGAGCTGCACATGGCCTGACTGGGAAGAAAAGGGTTAGAACCCCTGGAATACAGAAGTCAAGTATGGATGATGGGCCTGAGGCTGGGGCTCAGCAGTAGAGCACCTGCCTGGCACATGCGAGGCCCTGGGTTCCATCCTCAGCATCACATAAAATAAATAGATAAAATAAAGGTACTGTGTACATCTGTGGCTAAAAATAAAAATAATATGGATGATGATCAACTGAGAGATTTACAAATGTGATCACTGCACAGGGATTCACCGAATAGTATAGTGACACTTAACTGGATTCTGTTGTTACAGAAAAGATGGTTTTGATCATCCATTGATTGTATGTCAACAATACATTTTAGAAAGTAACCCAGAGGAAATACTTCACCTGGATTCTGCACATACTGGTGAGCACATCTCTCTGCCACACCCTTGGTATCTGCCAGCGACATCCCAGTGAACAGCAGAAATGGCACTTGGAGTGAGAAATCTGCTGGGCCTGAGGGACCATGGTGTATAATACATCCTAAACTCTTCCTTAGAAATGTTTATAATATCCACTTGAAAAAATAATATTGCTACTCAAATACACACTAATCCAGCACCAATTATAGTTAATCCTCTGTATACTTGGGTTCCAAGTCCTTGGATTTACCCAATACGGATAGGAAATTTTGAAAAAAAAAATAGTTATGTTGTTGCTAATGTGAACTACATAGTTATGGTCACATCTGTACTGAATATGTCCAACTTTTTTCTTGTTCTTCCCTAAATCATGGAGCATAGTCATAATTTTCATTGTATTAGGTATTAAGGCTCTCACAACCCAATCATGTGTTCTCGGCTCCTTCTTGCATTGTCTTGCACGTGAGCTTTTGGGGATGTGGGGTGTCCTCCAAAAGCTCATGTGCAAGACAATGCAAGAAGGAGCCAAGAAGACATGACTGGGTTGTGAGAGCCTTAACCCAGTCAGTGAATGAATCCCTAATAGGATTAATTAGGTGATAACTGGAGTGGTAGGGTTTGGCTGTAGGAAGTGGGCATTGTGGACATGACTTTGAGGTATATAGTTTTGTCTGGCAATATAATCTCTCTGCATCCTGATCATCATGTGAGCTGGTTCCCTCTGAAATACTCTTTGGCCATAATGGCCTGCCTAAGCTTGAGCCCCAAGGAATAAAGCCTGCTATCTATGGATTGAGACCTTGAAACCATAAGCCTCCAAATAAACTTTTCCTCCTCTACAATTGTGCAGGTTGGGTCTTTTAGTCACAGCAGTGAAATAGCTGACTAAAACAGCTGATTTGAATGCAAAGATGTATAACATAGCATGCAAAGATGTACATAGGTTCTACACAAAGACTATACCAGGACTTGAGTATATGTAGACTTTCTCACTGTCAGGGTCCTGGAACCAAACCCCCTCAGATACCAAGGGATAGCTATATTCTATCTACTAGCATAATTTTGGAATTTGCAGGATCAGTAGAAAGAGGATGTAAGTTGAAGGTATAAACAGGGATGTACGATGGGTGTGGTGGCACAGGCCTGTAATCCCAGTGGCTCAGGAGGCTGAGACAGGAGGATCATGAGTTCAAAGCCAGCCTCAGCAACTTAGTGAGGCCCTAAGCAAAGCAATTCAGCTAGACTCTGTCTCTAAATAAAGTTTTAAATAGGGCTGGGAACGTGGAGATCATAACTGATGGACTAGACCTTTGCAGCGTATTGACCAAGGGGACAGAGCCATCCCAGATAGAAACTGAGCTATGCTGCTATGCTTGGTCACTGGCCATGGCTGGGCGTGCATGCATGGAAGGCAAGCAATCTAACAAAACCCAAAAGGCTGTGCTCAGGACAGCTTGAGTTTTGTCTTCCAAGCACTGGAGAGGCAATGAAGAGATTTCAGAGCAGAAGTGGCAAGCTCAAGATTTGTTTTCAAAAGATTGTTCTGGCTGCAGGATGGCTGTCAAAGATGGAGAGGGCTGGCTTACTGCAGTGTTTAAAGTCTGTGGTCCTGGCACTTCTGTCCACCACAAAGAGCTTCTTAGAACTGGGGAATTCTTGTACTGAATGCAGATTAGGGCATTTGTACAGGCCCTTTTACTCCTAAAACCCTCTCTTTCAGTTCATCAAATAACAATCTGGGAGGTGGGCCACATGGACTTATCCTTTACTCACATATGGGAAAACACCTCCAAGTGGCTACAGAAACACAGAACAATTGCAAG